CGAAGTGCTGTGAGCCGGCACATACGGTCTCCAAGGCGAGGCATGATTGCTGTCCAAGAAGGTTTTTTGTGTTTTTGGTGGGACTATCCTCCTTTACTCCTAAGCTCTTTATTCGGAGCTGTACAATCAGCAAATTGGACCATATATAGGAAGCAACCGCTCATAAACGCACTGCATTGGCCAATATGCATCCAACTTATAGACGGATCTCGAACCAAGTGCTATTCATCTGTTCTATGAGAAAGGCATAATGATAGTTTCTTCATAATTGGCAAAAATTTATCGAGCTGAACGGTGCATATTTGATATAATCCAGATTAATGGATTGCTTTTAGTAGACTCACCGCGATTGATCGCATTCTAAAATACCCTGGACTTCCGAATGGTTGTACGATCTACTAATAACTTGGCTATAGCGTACCGCATGGTCGACGACAAACTTAAGAAATTGGCTACGAACGCGTTCGTACACCATCCAGCTCATTCTCGAAACAGACCCCCTTCGACTGTAAACTTCTTCCTAGTGTAAAAACATAGCTGAGTGGTAAGAAAATTCCTGTAAAAAATATAGAAAAAATGAAAAATTATTTCTCAAAATGTATATCGTCATTAGGTGGCATCTTGGACTGGATAGACAATAGCAAGTGAAGACCAAACCAAATACCGAACTCTACTATTCGCCCATCTTTGCTGTTTTACCTTATGCTGCAGAAAGAAGTATGGATATGGATAACACCCGACGGGTATGCTTTGGAGTTTGCGAGAGAGATTGACTTAGTTCATCGAATCAGAAGAGAGAGATATAGTTTACGACGTTCTAAAGGCACTGGAGGCACTGTTGAAAATAGAGGAAGATGAAGCCCTTCACGCCGTTGGAAGACGAAATGTGTCGTGCTTAAGAGAAGATAATTTAAGAAATAAGACGCCTGTACATATGTACATATATGTTTTATATAAAAAAGTCCCTGTCTTATGAAACTGTTTAAGGTTTTCTTGCAGGGCGTTGCATCTACTTCAAATAATTATTCATGAACTTGTTTATATTAAGAATTTAATATTAAACTATGTTTGCTATATGTACATGCGTATGTATGTGATGTTATCGTCATTTCATTGCGACGCTAAACTAATTGATAAGACATTTTGGGAGGTCACTGTGCTGAGAGCCATAAAAATTAATTCAGCTCAATATATGTATGTATTTCAAATGGATTCTTTTAATAAGATTATGAGCAAGGAATATTGGTTAGCAAGCTGTAGGAAGTTTTCTTCAAAGTTTGACACAAGTGTTAGTAAATAATGCAATCAAGCGTTTACATGTCACTGCCGAAGAACACATGCCAAAGTATACTTTTGAGCGAAAGTTATAGCGACTTCCAGTGAACTTTCATTCTTTCTTACAAATGTTAATTAAATTGAAACTAACTTGATTTAATTAGACGTCTGCTGCGTTCTATACCTGTCTGTTGCTGTGCACGTTTCGCTTTTATTTCTCTTTTAGTCTATTTCCCAGCCGAGTTTTGTAACGTACCTTTTCTCATGCGGCGATGCTATAAATGTTGTGAAAAAAAAAACATTTATTATTCATTTCTGTTTTGATTATTGTCCTTCGGTTAGCAAAAAGCGGCGAAGTAAACAAAACATTTAATGCGAAGTCTCTTTATTTTTGGCATAAGAGTTTGCTGTGAAGAGCGGTTATTGCTTTTAGAGCAGTGCGTAAACTGGTGCATGCGCTGTGTGACCTTGAATGCTCTTTTTTACTCTTTATTGGTTGAGGCGAAAATAGATTAAGTTCGAAGAGTGTTTTGCTTTTTTTTATCAGCTTACTTTTGCTTTTCATTTTTTATGCATTTCTTATAAATTATTTGATTTTATTATTTTAAACAAATATTTACTATGAATAATACTAATAACATGAAGCATAAAGATAAATGGAATAATTACATAAAAATAGTATTTTTTTAATTACTATTTCTGAATTTGTCTTTTAATAAAGATAAAAAATAGCTGTTTATTTTAAAATTTAAATTTTTCAAATTTAATCGTTATATTTTGGCTTCAAATAAATGATATTATTTTTTTTAATTTAAAATTTTAAATCTTAAATTTTAATTTTTAAATCTTAAATTTTATATATAAAATTCAAAATTTTTCTCAATATAAATTTGTGATGTATTTTTTAGTTAAGGCACTGCGCCTAAAAATATGCGTCATCATTATTATTTGCATTCAAAATTACTTTTTAAATCGCATTATAATATATTATTTTAAGGAAAATCATTTTTCTAATGAAAATTAAAAAAAAAAATCTCAAAACTTATTATTTGCAGTTTATACTTTTTTTTGGAACAGTAAGAAGAACGAAGTTTTCATTTTTTGAATAAAACAATTTTTTCGCATTTATTTATAAATTTGTTATTTTCTTTAAGATATTTCACGTAGAGATTTATTAATTACTCTTATATATCCAATTTTTTAAATTTTTTTTTATTTGTTATTTTTCAGATTTTTCTCTTTCAGTTTTTTCTTAAATAATATCTAAAAATAGAATTTCACACATACATATTTACATATGTATGTCAGCCCGTTAAAATTGAATCTGTAGAAATTTCTAATCTCTATATTTAATTTCCTTTCATAACAATTCTTAAATACAATAAAAAAAAAAAAAACAAAAAAAACCAAGAAAGGCAATCTATCACAATGCAAAAAGGCCACTTGACGTCGAAGTCACGTCGCGCTCACCCTCTCACCGACGCCCTCTCAGCAACAGCCAACAGCCAACAGCCGACAACCGGAAATTAAATTTCCTTTTGACGGAAATTTATTCAAATGCAAAATCGCGCAACGTCTACAGACTAAACTCACTCTTAAATTTCCACAGAAATGCCGGTCTCCGGTATGCCGTGTTGCCGCCAAAACTGAATTGAAAAACAAAACAATGGCAATGATAAAAACAAACAAGATTGGAAAGTCAAAACAAAGCGCATCCGCCCGTACGCCGCACCGACTTGTCAAAGAGTGCGGCGAAAAACATGGAGCAGAGGCCATGACCAGACGATTTGGCTTAAGCAAAAACAGCCTTGTCTACCAGCTGTGACAGTCAGTTGGCGAATGTACGCCAAAGCGGTCGGTTGTTCATTGTGCGCTTCGGAAAAGCTCAACATTCCGTTATTAGTGTTTGAAAGTGTTTCGCCTATGTGTGCATTTACATGTGTACTCGTTTGTATGTATGTGCTGAGAACGTGTAACAACAGCACTTAGTGTTTGTGAAAATATTACAGCGAAGAGCATACCTCCGCCGCTACCCACGTGAGATATGTGCAACAGCTGATTTTTTAATGGGTCATTGGCCTACAGCCGCCGGCACTAACAGCCAACCAATCTAAAAATATTGATTTTAGTGGGCGATGTGAAGAAATTTGGCGCCAGTGAAAGTGTTCTTTATTTTAAGTGGTGCGAGTGGGGGCATGGCACACGTGTGCTTAAATTTATGTCTAGCTGTCATTTTACATATACCGTTAGCGACCGAAATTATCAGCTTGCCGCGCGATAGTGGCTCCTTGCGGCTGGTGGAGCGTGTGTGTATGTCGGGAAATTTTTTACAAAGGGAGTTGTGTGTTGCAGACTCGCGCTCTCTTAAAAGAAACATTTACGCGTTACTTATATTTGGTATGCGAATGTATTTGAGCATCGAAGCTAACACACCGCGTTGCATTTTATAAATTAACCATCTCGCTTCTCTGTAAATATTTAAGCTTGACTAACAAGCTATTACCTTGCCATTTAACGTATGCTTACTAAAAAACAAAAAAAAAAAAACAAGAAAAAACAAAAACAATAACAACAACAAATAAATTCACACACCCGCGCCACAACAAATAACAACAAAGTGCACTCAGCATGTGCTTGTATATGAGTGTGCCACGTTGGATTAGCCTGGAACGTTTCGCCGGCGCAGTCTACGATGGCGCCTCCCATCTAATTGAAGTGTCGTTGGTGTTATTTTTACTCAGCTGTCATAGCGATAAGTCCACTGCGTCTTCATCGTCTGCGCCTTCATCAGCATCATCGTCAAGCGCTGCCCCGCCAGCTATACGCGGCAAGAGTGTTGGTGCACTGACAAACACTGTGTCAACTGCTAATAGCACCTCCGCTGCTGATGCGCCAGCCTTTATTAGCGGCGATTCAACGTCCCTTGTGTTGTACGCAGATAATATTAAAGCCAACAAGTTGATGGCAACAAAAATATCAACACCCACAATGAGTGTTGCAGTTGTGTCGGAGCAGCCGAAAGTGTAGGGTGTTTGAAGCAGAAGAAGAAAGTGGTGTATAGAAAATAAAAAATGTTGTGTGTGCGTAAGAAAAATGATTATTAAAGTCTGGCGGTGATTTTGGTGAAAAATTAAATTAAAATTAAAAAAAAATAAAAACAAATTAACGACGTGAAATGATATTAAGCTTTGTATTAAAATTAAAACAATGAAAGTGATTTAAAAATGCCGGAATTTTGCGAAATAAATAAATCAAACTGATTATAAAAATAATAAATAAATTAAAATAAATGGAAAATTTAGTAATTTTATGTAAAATATTAAAATAATGTAAAAATATTGTGAATTCGCGCACGCAGAGTTTATTTTTATACATTTTTGTATGCATGTTGTATGTGTGTAAAATAAAAATATTTAGCGTGCGTCAAAAATATCATAACCTATACATAATAACAAAAACTAATGTTTCAATAACAAAAAATTTAAAACCAGTTTTAATAAATAAAATAAAAAAGTAAAAATATTTGTAATAAGAAAAAAATATTTTTAATACAAAAAAATATTTTTAATAACAAAAAAAATATCTTTCAATAAGAGAAAAAAAAAAATAATAGTGGCTTGCTCCGTATGTTATAAAAAAAAATTTTTAACAACAAAAAAATAAAAAATAAATTTTTAATAACAAAAAAAAAAAAATAAAAAATATTTTTATGAAAAAAATAATAATTTTAATAAAAATAAATAAAAATAAGTATAGTGTTTAGTGCATAGGCATAGGCTGTATTTTTGTATAAAATTAGCAAAAATTGAAATAAATAAATAATAAGTGCAACGAGTGTGATAAAAATTTTTCTATGCTGTCTCTATTGGTATAATCAGCAACTGAAAGGTAAATAAAAATAAATCAATATAAATATTTTAACGTAGTTTTAAATTGCAAATTAAACAATAGGAGTTAGTGGCGTGAAATTGGTGAAATGCAAAGTGTTCTTAATGTGATTCATATAAAATTTTATAAGGCAAATAATTTACTTGTTATATATGTTTTAAAGAAAGATGGTGTTTTTTTCTTTGTTTGCCTAAAGAGATTATAGTCTTTTGATATAAAGAAAGACGAGCATTTTGAAAAATGTGAATCTTATATGAGAATTTTCTTTTTTTCAAACCTTGAAATGTAAATTTTAGTACCAATATTTACCTGTTGTTGTTGTAATTAGCGCAAAAAGCGAGGGAGTGACAGTTCTTGGCCGAATGGCAATTCGGGGCATTGCGGTTTAATGACCCGACTGTGACTAGCGGATTTTAGTCGCCTTTTACGATAGACCCAATTCAATCGGGATCGTACATCACTCCATGACGGATTTAGAGAAGGTCGCCCACATCCAGTTTTTGTTTTTGAAACTATTTAAAATCTTCATGTGACCCATCGTGAGATTAAGATAACATGCAGACGTTGGTGAGGCCATAAAATTTGTTAAACGTTCAAAAAAAAAAAAAGACTCGTTTCGATTTATTAAGAGAAATTAAAAAAAAATACGAGTACAGTGCTTCAAAACATGTCTATGATATCGACTGAGCGGCTGTTTAAAGTTGAGCTGGATCTAAAAAAAAATGTTCGCACACGTTGTAGTTGTTTTCCTGTTTTCCTTGGAAAACAGAACATGTTTCAACCGTACCACTTGAACAACGCAGAATAGTAAAATCTGAGTAGTTCACAACTACTTGATTACCAGTTGTCCTTTAGGAAATCAGGACGGGCAGCCGCCGAAGGCGGTTAAGAGCACACCACGACAATGTGAGCTCCCACACATCAACTGTAACTACTTTTTAGCACTTTTAAGCACTCAAAATGTCGATTTGATTAGTCACACACCGTTTAGTGCTGACTTGATATCGAATGACTTCTTTTGCCTCCCGTACGTAAAAAAGTAAACTAAGAGGTCAAGATTTTTCGTCAACTGATGAGTCAACGTTTAAGCAGGACGTTCTTTCCGCCAAAATTAAAACTACTTTGGAGTCCAATACTTTTTGGTCTGGAGATTTTTTTGGTGTCCATCAGACATTCAATAAATCAACTCGTCGCACGGAACTGTTTCTCTTCATTTTATTAACATAAGTACGTGTATTTATATATGGGATCTGCTTCGACATCGGAAGCCTAACAATTCGTAATAAAATATTTAGCTCAACAAAAGACCATGGTTAGGAATGGGCTACTGGCTTGGCGCACCTCTTTAGAAGGCCCCTTTTTAGAAGAAATACAGAGTTCTCTTTAGGCGGGTTTGCCTTGTAGCGGAGACCAAGATGTTAGTCAAAGGATGGGGATGATTGTGCAGTTTTGCTACGTATTTTAATGTTACAAATTCAATGTCTTCTTAGATCTCTATGGATATTTTCGCCCGTTACTATTCCTTACTTTTTGATTAAAATCTTTAAAATATATCTATATTCGTCTCTCAAGCTGTGCCCCATAACTGTATTCCATACGAGGTGCGATTGCGGTAACTCTGCGACCTTGAAATTCCTTTTCCCTTCTCTCGGCATCCTTCTCCTCTTCATTGATATATTTGCCATCGCTCTAGCTTGTTCAGTTCAGTTAATTAGCACGCTCTGGATAAACAATTTCCAAACGCTGTGAACTTTATTATCAAATCTTGACTTGTCATTCGGGTCCAGATACAGCACGATCTACGTCAGAACTTGGAATCTCTTTCACCGTAGCAGGTTGAAAATGGCAAGATCGGTCGACTATATCATGTGTTGGCCACCTCATATAACCAATTTTTTTTGGTTCCTGATCCTAATCCTAAAATGAACTACCATAAATTCTATATGTTCATAAAGATTTAGATTTTTTTTTTATGTTCTCATTACAAAAATACTTCGTTGTGCCTTAGTGCAAATAATTTACTCTGCTGATTGATCCGATTGATTGATATGCACATCACTTACTATTTGCAATTTGCTTAAACATGCGGATTGTGGTCGTGCGTTAATTAATTAAAGCTTTCACAAAATTTATACATACATATATACATGCATAGAAATGTGAATACACCTATGTATGTAAATGCCAAAATCAAAATTACCACCCATACGTGAATGAGTATGGAAATTAAAGTCAAAATTTGTTAATTGCATTTCCTGGCTTTGTATGAAAATGGAGTTTATTTATGTTAAACGAAAGCGTGTGTGGAACGTTTGCTGAGTGTATGTCAATTTTAAAGAAGACAGCATTAAATAGCAAGTGAAAAAATGATTAAAAATACATATAAAATTAGCACGCTTTTAATATTTACTGCACTTTGTGGACACTTCTCTTGAAATATTCTGAAGTAAATTGTTTGAGCTAATTTGCCGTTAACGTTGAAAAAGTTTATACAAATAAATTAATAATAAAAACAACAAAAATGTAATTCATTGCCAAATCAGAAATATATAATTTTACATATATATAAAATTAATCCGCATATAATTAATGAAAAAAAAAATCATAATTTTTTTCTTCTTAATTGCCAAATTATTGGACAAAAAAATGTTTACCTGCTTATACATATACATATATATTTCATGCATATACAATATTTTCCATTTATTTTTAAAAAACCAAAAATGCGTTTTCATAAAATTTTATTTTCAAAGCACACATACATATGTAGTTATGTACCATCACACCCACTATCACACGACAAACATAACGTCAATAATTTTGCTTATGTTTATATCTGCCGTACATATAAAACTGTATGTGGCTCACAACTACATTTTCGTATTTTTAAAATTTATGCTTTAAATATATTTCGTGCATTTAACTACTTGGCGACCCTTTCAAAGAAAGCGTAATCTATAAAATATTGCGGTTTCATTTTTAGGAAGTCAGCAGGAGAATATTTTGAATGAAACGCGAACACATTTATAAATATGTACATATACTCGTATACAAACAGAAGCAGTCAAATAAAAATGAATTATTGAAGATTAACTCACAAAATGTGCACTTGTGTATCATAAATTTACTAAACGAAACGAAGAAAATACTTAAGCATTACTGTGGCACGGTGGGACGGCAGGACAGAAAACTTTGTTCAAAATATAATATAAAAACATTTACGTATTTTTTCAATTTTACACTTTATTTTTATTCTTGAATTTAATTTTAATTTATTTTTAATTTCAATTTTAATTTTAATTTTAATTTTAATTTTAATTTTAATTTTAGTTATAATTATAATAATTCTAATTTTAATTTTGTTTTATTTTAATTTAAATTTGAAATTGTATTTGAATTTGAATTTTAATTTTATTTTAATTTTAATTTTAATTCTAATTTTAGTTATAATTATAATTATAATAATTCTATTTTTAATTTTATTTTATTTTTATTTAAATTTGAANTTGAAATTTTATTTTTATTATTATTTTTATTTTTATTTTTAATTTAAATTTGAAATTGAATTTGAATTTAAATTTCATTTGAATTTGAATTTGAATTTGAATTTGAATTTGAATTTGAATTTGAATTTGAATTTGAATTTGACTTTGAGTTTGAATTTAAATTTGAATTTGTATTTGAATTTGAATTTGAATTTGAATTTGAATTTGAATTTAAATTTGAAATTGAATTTTAATTTTTTTAGCATTATTTAAAATACATAATTGTTTATTTATTTTCTAATATTGCAGGCAACATTTGAATGCAACTGTACTTTTTTTTTTGGTTCACAAAGTTATTAAAGTTTATTTCTTAGAATCGATTTTTCACACATTTCACGTACATGCGATACCCCGACGTTCAGGGAATTCATGTGTATACGTGTGAAAAAAAATGAGAAGTACAAATAAAGCGCGCGGCATAATAAATATAATCGAAAAAGTTGTTGTGGTGGCGTGAAATGGAAAAAACTCGGAAATTTTTTTTTCTCGTTTGTTTACTGTGAAAACTTAGTTGTTGTTGTTGTATTTTCCCATAGAGCCCACATTTGTCAACGAAAATGCTGCTATTTTTCTTATACTCGTTGGCATATATCTACTTACATGTATGTATGTATGTATGTATGTGTGTATGTACGAGTATGTAGGTAAATACAAATGTGTGTAAGACTATAAGTGAGTTCATCTGTGATGTATTTGCGGGTAAATGCATATGCAAATATACTGTCGACGGCAGAGTTTTTCTCAAATTTATTAATAAATTGCGAGTGCAAAAACAAAAACAAAACATATAAATAAAATGACTTTTGCCTTTATTGAAATATATGGCGAAAGTTTATGTTAAAACTTGAATTTTGTTTGTTTGAAAATGACATAAATTAGGTTGGAATTTCTCAAAGGGGCGAACCTCTTCCTTAACTCACTCATTAGGGTATTTACGCAGAAGTCTTAAGAGGCTTGCGAATTTGTTCGCAGCTTTTAATCAGCAGAAATTCAGACCAATTCACTTTAAACAGATTAATCTCATTTTATCAGTTACTCATGTGAAAATCTGAGTAGATTATTATTCAACTTTAGGGGCACTCCTCTCCACCACGCTGAGGAACAGATACTGTATTGGAGCGAACAAAAGAAAAACAAGTTTACACAGATTTTATGAGCCTTGATACATAATTGATAGGGGTGACTTTCCAAAAAATTTACCCATTGAACTGTGTTTTAGGCTGCAAATTACAGTGGATCCATCAAGCCGCGATTAAGACATTTCTTCTTCCCTTTCTTAAGGGATCATAGCCGAAAGAGAAGTTACTCTTAGTCATTCGGCATCAAGTGAAACCAGGTCCTTTTCCACCTGATCCTTCCAACGGAGAGAAGGTCGTCTTCTTCATCCATTTAGATAACACACCATAGATATTCAATGTTATTATATATCTCATCCAGCTCATCGTTCTTCGCGGT